AGTGGTAAGGGAAGGGGCGACTGCTCATTCACCCTAGAGCTCGACGTGATAAGCAACCCAGCGCGTTTATCTTCCCCGGGGGCAGCCTTGCAGACTTCAGGCGCCTAGTCTTGAAAGAGCCCATCTTTGGGCACATAGCACCTCCCTTGCGCTCGTGTCCGCCCACGCAGACCAATAATTAGTTCATTGCCTCTGCATCTCTTGCCACACACGCCCCCGATGGGCTCACCTAGCCGCCTGGGCTGCTCCTGCGAGTGACACGGCCTCAGCTGGTCTGGGAAGCTGACGTACCTGAAAGACAAGCCCTGGTTTCCTCGGCAACCTAAGGAGACACCCCCCACATCAAAGGCCAGCGATTCAGGGCTACTTGATGGATAAGACAGCTAGTCCTGCCCCTCTGCAGAAGTCCCCGGGGGCTGGCTCAGGGGGGGTGGCTTACAGCCTGGGGGAGGAGCAGAACTACGTTACTGACGCTGTGGGCCTCTGGTGCGGCTGTAGCAGCTGAACTCAGCAGGCTGGGTGTTCCCCCTCTCTCTGTCTCTGCTAGAACACTGCGCTCTCCGCCTTGCTGGCCGGCTGCAGTTCCGCTGGCGACTCTCTGGAGGCAGGACTCCGGGCAGCAGTGCTGGCAGCTGCTGGGCAGCTCTGGGCTCGCCTCCAGGCCAAACAGGTGAGGGCATTTGCTGCTGCAGCAACGTAAGGGGTCCTAGTGCCCCACCAGGGCTGAGCCTCCCTCTGCTTCAGGGAGCCTGGAGCGTGAATTCCTCCCACACGCAGGCTTGCTCCCAGTGTGGTGTAGCTGGCACTGCGCGTGCCGTGAGGAGTCCTGGAGTTCCCCGGCTCAGTTTTAGAGGGACTGAGCCCCAGAAAGGGGGAACACAAACTAATAGCCAGATCCATCGGCCAACAGTGATAACTTAATGACCTTATCTGACTAAGAACAAAGAGAGAGGCAGCCAGGGATTTCCTTGCAAGGAGAACTGGATTCATCCTGGCCCTGTGTAGCACTGAACTGCCTGCATAAGCACGGTTCTTTGTGCAGAATAGTGAACATAACCGTCTTCCGTGGGAACTCCTGGCAGTGGTGAAAAAGAACGTAGAGATGGACGTCTGAAGTCAGAATTTTCTCTGTGGTGTGTAAACGTCGTGATTACTGTTTTATCTTCCCAAGCTAAATATATACGCCCAGATCCACAGCTATCGCAAATCAGTGTCATTCCATTGACTGTCTGAGCTGTGGGTGGACGAGGACTTCAGCAGAGTTACTGCGTTTATACCAGCTGTGTATCTGCCCCATGTTTTCAATCCATTCCTAATGTGAATGAAAACCCCTTCCGTCTAGTCGCACTCCCAAGCTGATGTTCCTCTTTCCACCCAAGTTTCCACAGTGCCTACTACTATACCAATATCCTCACTTAAACACCAGGCACCTTTGTCCATCTCTTGGTATTTCGACTTCTTGCCTTCCTCCCTGCTTCTCGTGGGGACTGTCCATATGATAAGTACATAAGAATGGCCCTACTGGGTCAGACCAAAGGTCCATCTAGCCCAGTAGCCTGTCTGCCAACAGTGGCCAGCACCACGTGCCCCAGAGAGGGTGGACTGAAGACGATAAAGAGATTTGTCTCCTTCCATCCCTCTCCAGCCTCTGACAAACAGAGGCCAGGGACACCATTTCTATCCCCTGGCTAATCGCCTTTTATGGACCTAACCTCCATGAAATTATCTAGCTTCTCTTTAAACTCTGTTCTCGTCCTAGCCTTCACAGTCTCCTCTGGCAAGGAGTTCCACAGGTTGACTACACGCTGTGTGTTGAACTTTATTAGTTTTAAACCTGCTACCCATTAATTTCATTTGGTGTCCTCTAGTTCTTCTATTATGGGAACTAATAAATAACTTTTCTTTATTCACACTCTCCACACAACTCATGATTTTATAGACCTCTATCATATCCCCCCTCAGTCTCCTCTTTTCCAAACTGAAAAGTCCCAGTCGCTTTAACCTCTCCTCATATGGGACCCGTTCCAAACCCCTAATCATTTTAGTTGCCCTTTTCTGAACCCTTTCCAAGGCCGTATATGATCGTATCTGTCTGACATTAACTGAACTGGGGGACGATACTGAAGTTTCACATTTAAAAAAAAAAAAATTGCCCTGTAAGCAGAAATGTCCTGGTGCTAAATATGCTCTTCTGATCTGGTGAAGGTCTCAAGTCAGCCCTGCCTCCAGCAAACACTTGGCTTGCTCCTCCCACTGCTGGAATTTTTCATCCAAACCTTAGACCCTCAGCTGATAGTTCAGGTAAGAAACATCTTTTTTGGGCAACCAACTTCATGCATGCTGGATTTTTGGTTATTACATGAGAATCCCGTCTAGTGAATTGTTTCATGGTCTGCTTTCTACTACTTAGCAAGAATGAGGAGTTCTTAACTTTATTTTGATTCCTTCCTACACTGTTTTGTTGGCTTTGCTGTGGTATTTGCTTGGCATTGGTTTTGGGTCTATTTTTTTCCCCGGCGTAGGGCAGTGATGTGGTATGATGTGTATTTCTCTTTGGGGTTTTCCGGAAGGATCCAATGTTTTTTTAAAATTTTGACGAGCTCTAGGATACATTTTCTTCCATTGACCTGTCTCTATGTAGGCTTGGTGGCCATTGCAATCCCCAGTGGAACAAGGTTTTTGTCTTGTTGTTTTATTTGATTGGCCTTCACCCTGATTGATTTTCCTGCAGGTGTTTGCAATGCAGGCTTCTCTTCTGGAGTTGGATCCCCCAGATCACGTTCGCTTGGCAATGCTGGATCTGCTCTCGTCGATGGGAAAACTGTTTATACCACAAGAAATCCAGGTAAGTGCAACATTTTGTCCTGAGATATTTGTGTATGACATTGTAGTCAAGGAAAATACACAGCGCCGCGCCGCAGGGCAGGGGATCTCGGAGACCTTCACTTTTCACGTCAGGAGAGAATACTTCCATGGCAGTGCTCAGTGCCATTGAGGCGGCTTCTTATCCCCATGGTCCGTGGGATGCCGGGTGCCCTCTCCCGTGTGTCAGGTCCCGGGGAGGGAGAGACGGGCTGCTGTCTGAGCTGCAGAAGGGAAGGAGCGCGTTTTGTGTACCTGTTCTCTCTTTCAATGGCTTTTGCCAGCAAAGGCCGGTGCAGACTCTCGAGAGTTGTAGACTCCAATCCTCTGACTCGAGTGTTTTTTTGAGGATGAATCGGGGCAGGCTGTGCCAGTGTAACACAAATCTGACTAGTGTGTGCTCCCCTTCAGGGGCAAGTTCTACCCAAGCTGGCGTGTCTCTTTGCCTCCCTGTTGGCTGACAAGACTTGGCTGATTTTCCAGCATGCACTGGAGGCATTCACTCAGTTTGCAGAGGTAAGGATACGTGGTTAGCCCTGTTAGTCTTTCCTTGTGGATCGGTTCCTCTAGCATTTGAGTGTTTGTTGCTCTTAACTCCCTCCACTGTATCTGTCCAGTGCTGGGACCTTGACTACAGTATTGCATATGCAGTCACACCGAAGTAAAAGGATTAGCAAAATTCAGGAGAAATGCAGTGGCCTGGGGAGGCGGTAGAAGAGATTTCCAGTATTGTTTTAAATCACACACCCCTGCGTGCTCTTAATACGCAACAATTTTCAGATTGTTGTGTAGATGATCTACAGCTTGTCCTGAATAGGGCTGCACTGGACGTGAACATACTAACCAACTTTTTCTTGCTTAAAACCTTCCACAGGCAACAAGGCATGAAGATGCAGTTCCTCTGTGCCTTAATTCTGAAGAAACTAAAAACAAAGTTGTTTGCTTTCTGGCCAAGGTACCTTAATGAAATACTTTCCTAGGTCCTTGCTTAGTAAGGGAGGGGTTCTTGCCCGCAGTTAACTGAAACAAGATTGCTCTGGATCTGGAATCTGAGGATCCGCTTCATGCCTGCTAAACTCGGCCAGACTGAGGAATGACAAACGCTGGGCGGGTTTCCACCACAGATCTCTTTAGTGCTCCTCAACTCTGATTGGGTCTTGGTGAGAGGATTATTCCAGGAGTGGGTGGGTGAGATTCTGTGGCCTGCATTGTGCAGGGGGTCGGACTAGAGGATCTGACCTTAAAGTCTGAGTCTATGGTTCCCCTCCCCTGCCCTTCCCTTCCTCCTGCGAGGGGACAAAGTCGGCTGGCGCTTGGGGTAAGGTGACACGGTCGCCATTAGGGAGCGGACAGATCGCAGCTCGCTCGTGTTCTTAGCCCCGGCGCAGAGAGGCAGGCCAGGGTCCTGAGCCCCTTGGCTGGCTCCTGTTTTGCATGTACCAAGTGGCCAACTGAGCGCATCCATGTACTTCCACGGCAGCCTCCAGAGAGTCTGGGGGAACAGCTCAAGAAAGAAAAGGGGGGTTGTGCTTCCTGGAGGAGCACGTGGACTCGGTGACTGTGAGAGGGGAAGAGGGTTCTCTGCTGCTGGAACCCATGCTAGCTTTCCCCCACGGTACCAGACTGCTGGAACCCATGCTAGCTTTCCCCCACGGTACCAGACTGCTGGAACCCATGCTAGCTTTCCCCCACGGTACCAGACTGCTGGAACCCATGCTAGCTTTCCCCCACGGTACCAGACTGCTGGAACCCATGCTAGCTTTCCCCCACGGTACCAGACTGCTGGAACCCATGCTAGCTTTCCCCCACGGTACCAGACTGCTGGAACCCATGCTAGCTTTCCCCCACGGTACCAGACTGCTGGAACCCATGCTAGCTTTCCCCCACGGTACCAGACTGCTGGAACCCATGCTAGCTTTCCCCCACGGTACCAGACTGCTGGAACCCATGCTAGCTTTCCCCCACGGTACCAGACTGCTGGAACCCATGCTAGCTTTCCCCCACGGTACCAGACTGCTGGAACCCATGCTAGCTTTCCCCCACGGTACCAGACTGCTGGAACCCATGCTAGCTTTCCCCCACGGTATGCCCCCACCCAGCAGCTGCCCTTCAGCGCTGGGGAGCGGGGACAGCCAGGAATCCTGGCCCACCCCTTCCATTGCTGCCCAGTGGCCCGGTTCTAGCGAGATTTTCCATTTGGTGCTGGTACCAGACTGTTAGCAGCAGGGACTAGAACCAAGCCCTGTCTGTGGGGCGGAGCAGCGCCCCCTAGTGCTGCAGCTGCGCGTACCACAGTGGTCTGGGCTGAGTGTCTCGAGGGGTATTTAAAGAGCAAGCGCAAGGGGAACTTCTTGGCCCTCAGCCTTACACCCCTGCAAGGGATTCGGCCAATGTGGGGAGCACCC